AACAAAAACTGTTATATTCTACGTGTTTTATTCTACGTGCACGTGATTGGCTGTCGGAATTTTTGTTGAGCTGGATGGAACATCCAATTCAACAAATTAGCATCCTTAGCTATACTAATTACGATATATGATCACTATATTCTCAAATTTACAGGGATAAAGTTAAGAATTGTGAAATGAATAACGTAGCAAACAGAAAGTTAAAGGGCCTCTCCAGCCAATTTTTTGCACTTGCATTTTATTGGCTAATCTAAAGGAGTTGAACCTGCTGATCACGAATTCGTTATTTGTTTTTCGATTTTTTTTACAGTTTGTGAGATATAAGCTCTTGCATTTCGATAATTGAATTGAATTTACCGACAAAAAATTTTCGGTTTGGTGACACTGTGACGCAATTTTGACGTCACAGTGTATTTTGTTAGTCTCGCCTCAAACCGAATCGAACGACGGCGATTCGCAAATTGAACACTGCAAGTGATGGTACTCTCAGTTCTGTTCCACCGGCTTTTTAGTTTGAGCATTTCAAATGTCAATTCTGAAGCCTTTAGTTGTTCATCGTTTCTGGAGAACAACTGAAGTGTCAATTTCGATTAATTATTCGCGAAGGAAGAGCTAGAACAGGAAGCCGTAGCTTTGTGGGCCTACACAGGTGATCAAAACAAAGTCGTGACACAGCATGGACACATTCCGACCCGCAAACTTAGAATGATTGTAAACATTTAATAGTTTATCCTAAAAAGCCCCTGCTCTAGATTTAGATGCCGTTATCAACGCGTGACCATGACTCCTTCACGATTCGGTGGAAGATATACGAAATTCATGGCGAACGAGGGCCGCACATTGTGACGTCAGAATGTCACAAAACTGATTCGGCTTTTGTCGTTTTTTTCTCGGAAAGGTGCAACTTTAAAGCCTTATAACTTCTAAACTAATTGGAATTTTGCAAAAACAACGACTTTGCCATAACACATGCACTAGATGCTAACTTTTTAGTCAATAAAAAAATTTTTTTTTTGGCTGGAGAGGCCCTCTAAGGATAAAGATTAGCGAATGTGTTTTGTTTTAGAAACTTAGAGGATACCTGTTTAATGAGATGAGGTCATGAGAATGTTAAGAAATGAATGAGTAGAAAAATAACGTGAACAAGCTTATGCAGAGTGAATACAGATGTGTATCTGAATACGTTTCCGCTATTGAGCAATTAACACTCAGCTCTAGTATCTTGTTGCTGAGTGTTGTGCGTGAGTCAAATAACACAAAAAACTATTTACAACGAATTCAATCCATGTTCTTGACGAGTAGCCTAACTATCTGTCCGTAACAATAAGACCTCTCTCTAACTACTCTAGCAGCATGAAGTTCTATTAAAAATGCGTGACGTGGTCAACACGTCGAGGGCCTGGACCCTACAAAGATCAAGTATAATAATAACCAATACATGTTTATACTACTCCAAACAATACTCCAAACTTAAATGCAAGTTCGTGGAACGAACAATCCTCTAGATTTCATGCAGCAGTTTCTTTTAGCGGCTTCAATTTATGCAATTGTGTGCCATTGCTCTGTGAGACTATCATTTTCATAGCTGTCACTTCCGCGGTTGGTGCCTTGTACTTTGTTTATAAATTTATAAGCTAGATTCTTTAGTTTTTTTAGCATTTCCCTCCTCTATAGGATTACCTCTTGTCTCTTTTTTTCTTGGAATGAATCGAAACAGAAAGGAATATGTTTGCACAAGATACTGTCTTAACGGTCTATTGTAATACGAGTAAATAAATGCGTTTGCACTTGAATTTATTAGCAACAGCAAAAATGTCCAAACCAGGATCGTGTTTGAGAACTGTTTTGGTTTCCCAAATTTGAACAACTCCCAATTCCAGAAAAGAGTAGTTATGGAATATGGTGCACAAATTGATAACTGGAAAGAAAGAATGACTGTGACTGATCTTGCTAGGGCCATATCATGCCTGAGATGTTTGGACCTTGACTGTATATGGTTGTCATTTCCGTTGTACAGCTTTTTCACACTGTTTCGCACATGGCGACAGACTATCGTATAACAGCTTACTAACGTAGCCGAAAGAGCCACAAGAATGACCAAAAATGCAAAGCTGAAGGCGTAATAGATATCACTGTATTTTGCTACAAGAACAGTGATGGAAGCTAAAAGCAGAGCACAGAAAATAATACACATCAAGACGTACTTACGAACGGCTTGCCATCGAAAAAAACAAGTTTTGCATCGGATACTTTAAAACTATAAGCCGTTCAATGCCGATAGCTAAGACAGTTGTAAAGTCTAATGAAAGAAAGGTGTGGGACAGAAACTGTATGCCAAACTTTGCCTTGCAGCTGCTATGTACCACTGGAGAGAGAATATAGGCACCACTTAGAGGCAGTAATAAACCACCAACTAACAGGTCTGTTATGCAAAGAAAAACGATCAGCAACTTTGAGCTAGATGATTTAGATCGAAGTAGGCCTATAACCACGACACTGTTGGAAACTAAAGTAATTGGTATCAAAGCTGCATTGAAGGAGAACATTGCAAGTCTATGAGATTTGGACAACTGAGACACATCTGGGGTAATACTTTTGCATGCAGGAACTGGTGCCAATGTTGTGTTCATTTTTAAACAAACTGTGTGTCAGGGAAGCACTGGTCTTGTATCGTCAGAAACAGTGTGATATTAACTTTTCTTTTCACGTGATCAGTATTCGATAATGTCCAATCAATCTCTCTTGTATCAAGTTGACTCTCGTTCAAGGAAATAATTTTCAATTAAAGTTTGCGAGAAATCTTTGCTACACATGAAATGTAGATGAGATGTATCTTTACACTGAGGCAATTGCTGCAAGCACAAAAGATGTTTTTGTTGTCCAGTCGCACTGTAGCAAAAGATGGCATTTAGTGCAAACTTTTCGTCGCATCAGAACTCAAATTGCTGTGTGTATTGCGCTTTTACAAGTCATCGACAACATTTGAATTGGAGAACGATTACAGCTTTATATAACCGGCATTTGCCACCAGCAACTCTATTCAAAACAAAATTTGAAAGGCAAGCAACATAATTAGAATTACAACTGTAATATGACCAAATTCTCAGTTATTTACGTAATTTTTACCAGAATCTTCATTTACTGAGCTTTAGACTCAGTGTTTATGTACACAACAATTCACATTTAACCTGTTTACGAAAAAATTTGAAATGAACCATTTTCTTTCTAATTTAACAAACAGTGAAAATTTTAGAAAGCACTAATGAAAATATCAACAGTCTTCCCGACTCATATCACTTGAAGTTTAATCAATAGAAGAGGTAGTCAAGAGATTTGAGGTTGCTAACGGAGTTGCCTTGAAAGAGGTTGTGCTCTTGTCTCCATTCCACAGCCAATTTGTAAGACATTTACCTTCTTTCACAAATGTACTTGATGATGCTCTCTCAAGTTATTTTATTCAAATGCAATATTCCAGAATCAGAATTTTTGACGCCTTCACCTTTCAAATTAATGTCAATCGTGAGATTGAACTTGCAAATTATATAAACACTGCTCCGTATATGTATAATGACAGGATGCATGGTTATTTCAAAGAAAGGAGTGACACGACATTGTAACCTCAAAAAAAGGACACAAGTCATTCAGCTTGATGATTGCTAAAACTATCTTGGTACCTGGATATCTGTCACAAGGACATCAAAAGGCGTATAGGTATGTTCAAAGATGCAATTATGAAAATGAAAGACATCTTGAGCAAAGAAAAAATCAATATAAAAGTGCAAATAAGAGTTTCAAACTGCTAGGTTCCGAAAACTAGGCGTTTATCAAAGGGAGTTGCTAAAACCGAATAGAAAGTGTCTTTACTAGTGGTTTACTTCTTAATAAGTTGCATTTTTGCATCAAGTGGAGGGCTTTAGCACCCCCTCTCCATCTTTGATGTGGAAGCTTATAGAGCGACCAAAAGAAGCAACTGAGGTGCGACTCAACCCGGGCCAAAAATTACCACTAGATTCCAAAAGAAAAAACGAACTCCTTCTGTCTACACAATGGCGGCTTTTCTCGTTTGTGTGTAGATCGATTTCAAAACTGCTAGATGGAAAGACGACTTTTTTCAAGTTCTGTACCACCAAAAAACTTTTGATACGTTTATTATCTTGAGTGAAAATATATTTGCAAAATCAGCTAAATGTCTTACGGAGTGGCACTGATGTTGCTACAAGAGCTCAGGTTCTACCAAACTTCATATCTTTGACATCAACATCTTCAAAATATACTGCATGAACTTTTTGTGATATGAGT